CTAAGCGCACCGTCCCCTCCCTCGCCCCCGGCTCCCTCCCCTCCCATCCCCTCACCCGTTGGCCGACGAACCCCCCAGCCCCAGGGGCGGCCGCCGGCGATGGTGAGGGAGATGCGCATCAACACCGCGCCCCGCGGCAACCGCGTCCCGCTCCTCAACAACGGGGTACCTAGCGCCAGTTCTCCCGCGGCCCCGCCCTTCCTTTTTTTTTTCCTGTTTTTTAACCGCCTGAGTTCGGAATTTGGGGGGGCTAACCGACCCCGCCCGCGCCGGCGGCTTTGCTTTGCAGGAGACGTCCAGGATCCTCTCCGACCTCGAGGAGGGCAGCAACGTCCAGGTTCGCCGCCCCGCTGACTGACTCACTCCCCTGTCACACAGTACCCTTGGTTTGGTTTCTCCATGGACCAGAGCTTCAGCTACAGCCATGGCTACTAATTCGTCTTTCCTTTTTCACATGGTCTAATCGGAATCCTCTCAGGCGGCCAACGTCGGGTTCTGCCGGGTCATCAAGTTGGTGAGCACCGTCTGATATTATACTAGGTTTAAGACCGGGAAAGTTTCAGTGATGATTTGCTCTGCTAAATTCACGAGGAAAATGGTTTGCAGGCAAAACATGACGCGGGGAAGCTCGTCTTCGCCACCATCGCGCTGCTCGTCGCCTCTCTCAGCAACCTCCTCGTTGTAGGTACTCCTCACTTATTATGATTGCGCAGTTATTTGGTGCTGAATTGCGTTCCCTGTTCTGGTGAAGCCTCACACAGTGGCTCAGGCTCTTATATGAGCCCGGGCTTTAATTTTGAACCCGATTAATCGCTCCCACAACACCAACAATATTGGTTGAACTAAGATAAACCGAAACTGTAGCTACATGAAAACTGTGGCAAAGAGAAATGTGCAGATATCACTGTTGTTTCAGTAATCAGTTTTGACTCGTGAGTACATTGGTTCATGCGTGGCAGGATTACTACTCTGCCCGGATTACTACATGAAAACAGGAGTATTAAATAGCGGCCAGTAGAGTGCGTTGGTTCTTGTGTGACATGATTAAATACGAGTGTGGTGTGGTGAGTGTGCGTTGGTTCTTGTGTGACATGATTAAATAGGAGTGGGGTGTGGTGAGTGTGCGTTGGTTCTTGCGTGACAGGATTAAATACTACTCCGTACAGAGCAAGTTGTACTTCCGCCTATAAAGAGCATCAATGTTGCACATGTTTCCTGTCTTCATGGATGGATCATCTTATTTTAAAAGCCTAATGGATGGATCATGTTCTGTTATCCTACAGCCCAAATACGGAGGCAAGATAATTGATATTGTGTCAAGAGATGTTCAGCGGCCAGAGGATAAGGCCCAAGCCCTGGCGGATGTGAACGGCACCATATTGTACATTGTGCTAATAGTTGTAACCGGGTATATATCTTTCTTGGAAACTTATTTTTGAGGATTATAGAGGGATATTCTGTTATATGACACTGCCACTACCATCTTTTATAAACAGTTTATGCTTGGTGGATCTAGGTAGGCCGCAATTTTAGTTGGTACTGATAACTACACCATTACTCTCTACTTACTTTCTCCTTCTAGAGAAGAATTCATGTTAATGTGCTAAACCCAAGTAGCTATTTAAGCTTGAAATATTAGAAACCAACTCTGCCCCTGTTTCAGGTCAGTTTGCACAGCTCTTCGGGCATGGCTGTTCAATTCTGCTAGTGAGAGAGTCGTTGCTCGACTTAGACAGGACTTGTTCAGTCATCTCATAAACCAGGCAAGTGCCTTAATTCTCTGTCCAAATAGCTTTGTTCCTGTCTTCCATATATCTGTGTTCTTATTATCAAGTCTGCACACATGTCTTGTGCCCCCACAGGAAATAGCATTTTTTGACGTGACTAGAACAGGAGAGCTCTTAAGCAGGCTTTCTGAAGATACCCAAATTATAAAGAATGCCGCTACAACAAACCTTTCAGAAGCACTGCGTAATCTGACTACCACAGCTATTGGTCTTGGCTTTATGTTTTCAACGTCATGGAAGCTGACATGTAAGTACCAGTTCCACATGCTTTTGTTCTACAGATTAAGAACTTTGTTGCATCTCATTTTGTTGCCTGTGCACAACAGCTTTACTTAATTTGCTGACTCCACTAAGGAACATACCTGTGGGGGGGCATTCGCAAATCATTATATTTGTTCATAATTTTATTTAATGGAGGAATTTTCTCAAAGAGTGGCTACCACAAAAGCGCACGTCTATGAAATCTTTGAAGGAACTGCATGTAATTTTCCCTAGCCTACAGAAAACCATGCTTTTGTCACAACCGAGAGACATGCCGGCTTGCCATAAACAGGAGGAATTTGGTTTAGTTTTTCTGAAGAGGAGATAGATGCCCATTGCCCCATCCACACACATCATCAATTTGAGGGCGTTGGATCTTATTGGTAGGTATGTAGACTGATCTGAGGGGCAAATTCACCTCAGCTAAGCCACCACAACAGCATGGACCCCATTGGGATGTGATGATCTGTTTGCCTATGTGGCATCTACCTCTGCATCGATAAAATGAGACCGGGCTTGCATGTGTAGTGTCTTGTACTTTTGTGAGTCTCCCCTACCTGTTGGTTCCGTTGGTTCTGATGGAAGTATAGTCTTCTGCACAGTACAGTAAAAGTTTGTAGTAACATAAAATGGTTTAAAAAACATGTGGTCCTGATAGTTTCGCTTGCGTACATGCATTTAAAAATAAATAACCGCTTTGATTTAGTTCCTCTTCAGTCTTTACTCTCCACACTATTCTGTTAATCTCATTTACTATTCCTCCACAGTGTTGGCACTTGTAATTGTTCCAGTGATATCAGTTGCTGTGCGTAAATTTGGGCGTTTTCTTCGTGAGCTTTCACATCAGACACAAGCTGCGGCTGCTGTAGCTTCATCCATAGCTGAGGTTTGTATATCTGATATTTGATTTGATGATGAGCATAGGAGAACTTTGGTGAAACCTTACTTTAATTACTGTAATGATTACAGAAAAAATAATCCAATGCGCACGTTGAGTTTTCATTTCAACCATGTGGTAGAATCCTTGATTTGTTGTATTTGGGCATTAACAATTCTACCTTCTACCATCTAGGAATCTTTTGGTGCCATTCGCACAGTAAGAGCCTTTGCTCAGGAGCCTCATGAGGTTTCACGATATGGCGGAAAAGTAAACGAGACACTGAAGCTTGGTCTCAAGCAAGCTGTGAGTACTGTAATCTTAGTGTATAGAAAAATGGCACTATTTTGCATAATGACCTGACTATGCATTTTTTTGTAGAAAGTTGTTGGACTATTTTCTGGAGGGCTTAATGCTGCATCAACTCTGTCGGTTGTTGTTGTAGTTATTTATGGAGCTAACTTAACCATCAATGGTTACATGACAACTGGTTCTCTTACGTCTTTCATCTTATACAGCCTTACAGGTAAGATTCAGCATTATCACTTTCGTTTTTACCGAACCCAGTATTCTACCAATACCGCAACTGGAAATCTACAAGTCAGTTATAATAATCATGTTTATAAGGGGAACTTCTGTTCTAATTGTCATGATTATGTGTATGCTGGCTTTTCTCAACAATTCATCCCTCTCTTGAGTATGCAGTTGGCTCGTCAGTCTCTGCCTTGTCAGGACTATACACAACTGTAATGAAAGCATCAGGCGCAAGCCGTAGAGTTTTTCAACTACTTGATCGTGTTTCCTCAATGACAAACACTGGGGACAAATGTCCAAAAAAGTGAGTTTCATTGTCTATGAGCTTTCTTGATTGATTATACCTGTGCATCATGCAATACACATTTCCTTTCATTTTACTGTGAATTTCATAGTCTATTAGCTTTTTTGGTTGGTTGACATTTCCGTCCATTTCAGTGAAAACGAGGGGGAAGTTGAGCTGGATGATGTCTGGTTTGCATATCCTTCGCGTCCTTCTCATATGATTCTTAAGGTAAATATTTTCAGATTGCATTTCTACATGATAATTTAAATTTGGCGTACTCTAGCATGGCGTTGTCGTTTCCTCCTTGTTTATGTGCAATGTACACACAAAGAGAAAGTTAGGTGTAAATTTGCATGCTTATCTTTTATGCCCTTGTGGTTTTGCACTGCATTTGGGATAACTTGGCTCACTTTCTGAAGCTTGGATACTTAGGCCCCATTTGGTTGCGAGGGATCCCTGCGGGATACCTGCCTTTTCCCCGGTTGGGTAAACCACGTGTTGAGTTCGCCCTGGGCAAGCAAGCAGCCCCGTTTGGTTTCGCGCGAGGGCGAAAGAACCCTGACCTTTCCACGGCCCATCCCCGGGTAGATCTCCCCTGTATCGACTGGTCGGGGAGAAAACCCTCTACTCGTTCGCTTGCTCTCCCTTGCAACCCTTCAGCCTCAGTCTCCAAGCGATGCCCCCGCCCCGCCCCCGACCTCCCCTCTGGCATCTCGTCCAAACTGAGCTGGTGGTCTCCCCGTGGTGGGAGAGGAGATCCCCCAAAACCATGTAAATCTCCCCGAGGTGGATTAGTACCCCTGGGAAACTTCACCTTTCCAACCAAATTAGGCCTTAGTGGTTTGTTTTACTATTAGAAACGGAAGAATATGCTGATACAGTAACCTGCATGATGGTGGGTTAGTCAATTATTCTTGTAGTTCCATTTTGTATAAGAAGAGTGAGTATACTTTGACTTGGTATATATAGGAGTTTTCTCTAAATTATATACGAGTGTTAAGGATTATTTTAGTGATAAAGTAGTTATGATGTGTTGCAACCTGTAAAATAGGACCACATATTTAATAATAAGAGAGGTAACAAATCATTTACAAGCTTTCTCGAGAGCATAAAATACACTTTCAACTAGCATACATGGTGCATTCAGTTTATATTGTGTGTCATCAATATTTCAGGGAATCACATTGAAGCTAGCACCAGGTTCAAAGGTTGCACTTGTTGGGCCGAGTGGTGGTGGAAAAGTAAGCCTAATTTTGGCTGTATGTTATAATTAGTCCACATGCTTGGTATTACACTATGAAATTGTTTCTCACTTGCGACTCTCAATCATAACCTTCGGGTATTTACATGCTCCTGCAGACTACAATAGCAAATTTGATTGAAAGGTTTTATGACCCTCTAAAGGGAAGGATCTTGCTAAACGGAGTGCCTTTGGTAGAAATTTCACATCAGTATCTCCACCAAAAGGTATGGTGTCCAACCGCTTTTGTCTGCAACAGGATTGATATGGTGCTGTGGAAATTAGGACATTATCTAAGCTATGGTAGGTATAAAAGGTTCTGAGTCCTAGTACACGGGGCCATCGCTGGATACTGTCTTGATTCCTGTTTTGGTTGATATTAGTCCGATTCTGTAAACTGCATCAGTTAGCAGGTTCACTGTATTGTCTAATCACTAGAGAGTCGTGTAATTCAGAAACCTTTTGGGGGGAAAATACTGGTATGAACCAAAAAGTTTCAGCATCCCAGAAATACTCTGCTTACATCATTAAATTATGTCGGTTGGTAATTTCAGTATTTTAGTAGTGTCTGGTTACTGTCACTGGCCATTCAAGATTCAACCTGTGAACCCCTGAGATTACTTATGCATCTGACAAGAACTAGGAGCGCATGATTGACTATACTTGTATATCTACTTTAGATTTTTTGAAATGTTTATTTTCTCAACCAAATGATCTCAGGTAAGCATAGTTAGCCAGGAGCCTACACTCTTTAACTGCTCCATTGAAGAGAATATTGCATATGGATTGGAGGGCAAAGCTAGCTCTGCTGACGTTGAAAATGCAGCTGTAAGTATCTCTGAATTAGGCACTAAGCATACCTCAAGATAGCAGGATCTGACTAACTTGTCGATGCAGAAAATGGCAAACGCGCATGACTTCATATGCAGCTTCCCAGACCAATACAAGACTGTCGTCGGAGAGCGTGGCATCAGGTTATCTGGCGGGCAGAAGCAGAGGGTTGCCATTGCAAGAGCTTTGCTTATGAACCCACGAGTGCTTCTATTAGATGAAGCTACCAGCGCCCTCGACGCCGAAAGCGAATACCTTGTTCAGGTACCGCAACCACTCGACCGAAACTTCTAAACCGACCCAAAAGGGAAGCAAATAATTCTCTGCTGCTACTAATAAAATTCATGTGATTTACATTTCCCTATATGCCACAGGATGCAATGGACTCGTTGATGAAAGGGAGGACCGTTCTCGTGATAGCTCATCGGCTCTCCACCGTGAAGAGCGCCGACACGGTTGCCGTCATCTCCGAGGGCCAGATCGTGGAGAGCGGCACACACGACGAGCTCCTCGAGCGCGACGGCATCTACACGGCCCTGGTGAAGAGGCAGCTGCAGTTGCCCAAGTTTGAAGGGACCGCCAACGGGACAGCCGAAATAGAACCCAGCAGTAATGGCCAATAGTGTTGCCTTGCTTGATGATATCTCTCCTCTTCGGTTAGGCAGACATCACTTCGTTGGGATCCACCATATGTAACGCGCATTCTGATATACGTATTCCATTCTGGATAACGCAACACGCTGGAATGTCACACGCTGTAGCTCTCCTACACCTCGTCTCACATGTGCGGCTGTATGTGAGTGGACTGTAAAGGATATACGTGCTTAAGACTTTGACATCGATTATTTCTGTAACATACAGTTAAGGAAAATTGCAGCGCCTAAACCACGTTGATAAATCAATTGGCCCGAGGGAAAGAAACTAATTTCATTTGTTAACTATGCGTAGCAAAATAAAGGCTTTGCTTAAGTTCGCTGCTATGTATTTTCAGTACACCCGGGGTCCCAAAATCGAAATGACCATTCGAGGGGAAAATCCCAGCAAAAATTGTCGAAAATACTCTTTTAGTTCATCATTCAAAGAGTCACAAAATTATTAAGATGCTAAGGAACAACGGGCTAACGCTTTCACCTATATATGTTAAAATACATTTCTCACAACCCTGGCTGTGAAGGTTTTTAGTCAAGTTTTTTTTGGCCTACGCCCTCCTGATGTGACGCACTTGTGAAGAAATGTAAGGTGTTTCAATATCACGCCTCAAAAGTTAACCAATCCGCTCAAGCCCTGGTTGCGAAGGCTTTCAGACAAGGTTTTTATTGGCCTACGCCCCTCCTGATGCAAGCACACATGTCAAGAAGTGTAAGTTGTGCCAGTACCACGCCCTAAAAATTCACCAATCCGCTCAAGCCATGCAAAAGATGTCCCTATCGTAGCGCTTCGCAACCTGGGACTGGATTTACTGGGTCCTCCGAACTCGAAGAGTAACAAGCTTGGTAAGCACAAGTCCGCAACGGAAACAATAAGTTCTCACGAAAGTGAGAAGGGCCTTGCGAGATCGTTCAAGAAACAATCTAATGCTAATATACTAACCTTAGCAATGCAGTATATAGTGATTCACAAGATTCCTTGTCGAGGTTTTCTTGGGGCCTAAGGCGATGTCATATGTGTAGGTGTGGATTGAGCTGGTTTCTAACTATGTGCAGATTCATATGTCTCCTTTCTTGTTGAGCAACGATCCTTGAGTTGGTGTTGAATTACATTGTTCCACCTCGGATTACCATAGGTGAGTGCTCATTCCCGACATTTTTTGCTTAAAATAAAAATGATTAATTCTCGCAAAAATACATAAATAAATAAACAATGAGAACTAATTAATCAGCCTCTCCGATTACTGGTCGATAGTAATTAACATGGAATGGAAATGGAAGGCGTGGTTCTTGCTGCCACATGCTAGCTGCATGACGGCTCCAGATGACGAATGGTTTGAACCATTCTCTCATGCACTGCTATGCTGCTCAAGGTCTTGGAAGGCATGCTTCTTGCTGCCACGAGTGTGTCCGTTCGCTTGATGTGGACGACGTGCTCCCGGTCATGGGTGCATGACGCCCACGCCTCTGCCTTTTTTTAGGACGAACGGCAGGCGCAGGACGTAACAGAATTCCGAGTACTAGGTTGGGCCATCCAGTGGCGAGTTTTCAAGGAGGGAGACAGGGAAACTCCGGTTGACCTACAAAGTCCACCACAAAAACAAATTCGAAAGAAATACTACGAAGCCAGATGCGTAGAGCAGATTTTTCCCTATTTTTTTTTTCGCAGCCACAGCTCGCGCTTGCCGGCGCCAATGGCCTACTCGTCGACACTGCGGCGGGGCGGGATAAAAGGGGCAGCATCCTCTCGTCGTCTTCCCACTCTCCCCCTGCCCCATTGGCCAGCCACCTACGACCACGACGAACCCGGCGGCGGCGATGGGGAGGGAGCCGCGCATCAACACGGCGCCCCGCGGCAACCGCGCACCGCTCCTTGATCACGGGGTAGGCAGGCGCGGCCGGCGGCTCTCATCCGTTTCCAGTTCCTCCGTCGTTCTGTTTCTGAGGCTGATCGCGCTTGTTTTTGCAGGAAACGGCGAGGGTTCCCTCCGACCTCGAGGAGGGCAGCAATGTCCAGGTTCGACTTGATGCGCCTATCATAGAGTAGCGCAACTCCATTTCTTCCGCTAGAACGATGAACTTACTAGTAAGAGATTCATCTTTTTTTGTCTCTACTCGTCTAATTGGAATCCTCGCAGGCGGCGAATGTGGGGTTCTGCCGGGTCATCAAACTGGTGAGCACGCCGTGAAGGTTTTCCATGTTTTCTGGAAGGTTTGTTCATGTGTTTGCGCTTCTGAATTGACGCGCAAACGGGTTAATTCCAGGCAAAGCCGGACGCGTGGAAGCTCATCTTTGCCACCACCGCGCTCATCATCGCCTCCCTCAGTAACCTCCTCGTTGTACGTACTCCAAACCTATCATGCTAAACGGTTTTACGCAGCAAGGGCTTTAATTGAACTGACCAACATACTCTGGCTTCCTGGACATTGTGTAAAAGAGAATTGTGTACCTATAGATATCATTTCAGTAATCAGTTTTGACCGGCCGGGAGCAGAGTAAATTTGTTCATGTGTGTCAGGAACTCAGGATTAAGTAGTGGTGAGCAGAGTAAACTTGTTCTTATGTGACAGGATTAAATACTACTCCATAGAGAGCAAGTTCTACTTTCATCTATAAATGTTGCACGTGTTTCAGTTCTTTGTCACATTGCATAGATCTTTTTATGCCTAAAGGATGGATCACCTTGTGTTATCCTGCAGCCCAAATATGGCGGCAAGATAATCGATATTGTGTCAAGAGATGTTCGGCTGCCAGAAGATAGGGCTCAAGCCTTGGCGGATGTGAATGGCACCATATTGTACATTGTGCTAATAGTTGTAACCGGGTATATATCTTTCTTGAAAACTTGCATCGATTTTGATTCTTATTATTGAGGGATATTCTGTTGTGCAACATCCCCATCTTCTATTTGTCCAGCTTACGATTTCGTGGATGTAGCTAGGCTGCAGTTTTAATTGGTACAAATAGTTAAACCATTTCGCTCTGAATTACATCTTCTTTCAGGTCAGCTTGCACAGCTCTTCGGGCATGGGTGTTCAATTCTGCTAGCGAGAGAGTTGTGGCTCGACTAAGACATGACTTGTTCAGTCATCTGATAAACCAGGCAAGTGCCTTAATTCTCTGTCCAAATTTGCCTTAATCAAACGCTTTCGATTTTCGGGTCTTCCATTTATCCGTGTTCTTGTTATCAAGTTAGCACACGTGTCTTGTGTGCCTCCACAGGAGATAGCATTTTTTGATGTGACCAGAACAGGGGAGCTCTTAAGCAGGCTTTCTGAAGACACCCAAATCATAAAGAATGCCGCTACGACAAACCTTTCGGAAGCGCTGCGTAATCTGACTACCACGGCTATTGGTCTTGCCTTCATGTTCTCAACTTCATGGAAGCTAACATGTAAGTACCAGCTACATGTTCTTGGCCTTTACTCAGCATACAACTCAAGCATATCTCATTTACCATTCCTCCACAGTGTTGTCACTTGCAATTGTTCCGGTGATATCGGCTGTCGTGCGTAAATTCGGGCGTTTTCTTCGTGAGCTTTCACATCAGACACAAGCTGCAGCTGCTGTAGCTTCATCCATAGCCGAGGTTTGTACTATCTGATGTTGATTGCTTAACGAGCATAGGAGAATTTTGGTGAAAACTTTCTTTAATTACTCTTAACGGTTTACAGAAAAGTAACAATAAAATATGCACTTTGAGTTTCATTTCAACCATAGGGTAGAATCCATGATTACTTGTATTTGTGCATTGAAAATTATATCTGCTACATTCTAGGAATCCTTTGGTGCCATCCGCACAGTAAGAGCCTTTGCTCAGGAGCCTCATGAGATTTCACGATATAGCGGAAAAGTAAACGAGACACTGAAACTTGGACTCAAGCAAGCTGTGAGTACTGTAATGTTCGTGTAAGAAAAATAGCACCATTTTGCATAATGATTTGACTAAGTATTTTTTAGAGAGTTGTTGGACTATTTGCCGGAGGGCTCAATGCTGCATCGACCCTGTCGGTTGTTGTTGTTGTTATTTATGGAGCTAAATTAACCATCAATGGTTACATGACAACCGGTGCTCTTACGTCATTCATCTTATACAGCCTTACAGGTAAGATTCAACATTATTTTTTACCCTGAAAATTCAGCGTTATCAATTTTGTTTTTACTGAACCCAGCATTCTATACCAATACCACAACTGGAAATCTACAAGTAGGTTATAAAAACAATCAAGTTTGTAAGGGGCATCTCTGTTTTCATTGTCATGATTATTTGTATACTGACCTTTCTGAACAATCCATCCCTCTCTTGAGTATGCAGTTGGCTCGTCGGTCTCTGCCTTGTCAGGATTATACACAACTGTAATGAAAGCATCAGGTTCAAGCCGTAGAGTTTTCCAGCTTCTTGACCGTATTTCCTCGATGAAGAACTCTGGGGACAAATGTCCAAAAAAGTGAGTTTCATTGCCCATCAGCTTTCTTGGTTGATTTTAACTATCGAGTATGAAATACCTTATATTGTTGGCATTTTCTTCCATTTCAGTGAAAATGACGGGGAAGTTGAGTTAGATGATGTCTGGTTTGCATATCCTTCTCGTCCTTCTCATCTGATTCTCAAGGTAAATATACTCTTGCAGGCTTATCTCTCGTGCTCTTTCTTATGAATTTGAACTGCGCTGGGATAACTTGGTTCACTTTCTGAAACTTGGATGCTTAGTGGTTTGCCTGTTAGAAACGGAAGAATGGTATCTGCCGATAGTCACCTACATGATGGCAAAACATTTCGACATTACCAAATAGTAGATCAATCAAGTATACTTGTAGTTCCATTGTTTATAAGAAGAGTGAAGACACTTTGACTTGGTATATGCAGGAGTTTTCTCTATTGTATATAGGAGTGTTAGGATGTAGAATATGACTCTCATTTACTCCCTCCGTTCCTAAATATTTGTCTTTTTAGAGATTTCAAATGGACTACCACATACAGATGTATATAAACATATTTTAGAGTGTAGATTCACTCATTTTGCTCCGTATGTAGTCACTTGTTGAAATCTCTAGAAAGACAAATATTTAGGAACGGAGGGAGTACAAGCTTTCTCTAGAGCACAAATACGCTTCAACTATAGCATACATGGTGCATCTCAGTTCAGTTGATATTGTGTGTCATCAATATTTCAGGGAATCACATTGAAGCTAGCACCAGGTTCAAAGATTGCACTTGTTGGACCAAGTGGTGGTGGAAAAGTAAGCTCCTAAGCTTTGGTGTTACACAATATGAATTGTTTCTCACTTGCAATTCTCAAATCATAACCTTCGGGTTTCTTACATTCTCCTGCAGACCACAATAGCGAATTTGATCGAAAGGTTTTATGATCCTATAAAGGGAAGGATCTTGCTAAATGGAGTGCCTCTGGTAGAAATTTCACATCAGTATCTCCATCAAATGGTATTGGCGTCGTCCAACTCTTTTCCATACAGTTTTTTTAAAAGAATTTTCTTATTCCATACTTGTATATCTGGCTTCAGATTTTTTTCCCCCTCCTCAAATGTTCATTTTTTTTTCTGAACCAAATGATCTCAGGTAAGCATAGTTAGCCAGGAGCCTACACTCTTCAACTGCTCCATTGAAGAGAACATTGCTTATGGATTGGAGGGCAAAGCGAGCTCCACCGACGTCGAGAACGCAGCTGTGAGTATCTGAATTTAGGAACTCTTCTGAAGCATATCTCTCAGGAGTCGGGACTGCAGGACCTGACTCACTTGTGGGTGCAGAAAATGGCGAACGCGCATGACTTCATATGCGGCTTCCCGGACCAGTACAAGACGATCGTCGGAGAGCGCGGCATCAGGTTTTCCGGCGGGCAGAAGCAGCGGGTCGCCATCGCGAGAGCTCTGCTGATGAACCCGCGGGTGCTCCTCCTGGACGAAGCCACCAGCGCCCTGGACGCCGAGAGCGAGCACCTTGTTCAGGTACCATGGCCACTCCACTGTTGCCAACTCTCCTGAGCTGATTCAATTTTTCAGCCGTTTATTTACTTCTTCTTGGTCCTGTTTCCCACAGGACGCAATGGAATCCTTGATGAAAGGGAGGACGGTCCTCGTGATAGCTCACCGGCTCTCCACCGTGAAGACCGCCGACACGGTCGCCGTCGTCTCCGAGGGCCAGATCGTGGAGAGCGGCACGCACGACGAGCTCCTCGACCGCGACGGCATCTACACAGCCCTGGTGAAGAGGCAGCTGCAGTTGCCCAAGTTCGAAGGGACCGCCGACGGGACAGCTGAAGTTGAACCTGTTAATGGCCACTAGTGTCGTCTCCTTGTGTCATCGATGATGATCTCTCCTCCCCGCAGCTAAGCACAAGCCATTTCGTATTCCGCTCTGAATAACTCCAAACACGTTGGATTACCACACACACTGTTTCTCTCCTACACATTTGGTCACTTGTAGGGCTGTATGCCTGAATGCACACTTTAAGTGCAGTGTAAAGGATAAAGCTAATTGCCCATGCGTCAACTGGGCATAAATATTCTATTGATTCAATACTGACATACAGTACTTTACACCCACCATATTTTAGATATTTGTAAGACTTGATTTGATTTGAGTGTGGGTAAAACAAAGGCAAGAATAGTTTGGTTTGATTGAGGTTTGATAAGATTTGGGCTTGGTGGGGGAACGTAATGAAACTTTTGGTTTTGTTGAGGTTTTGATTAAAAAAATTGATTTGGTGGTGAGCCCAGGGAAAATTTTGATTTAGTTGAGGTTTTGATAAAATTTGATTTGATTTGGGTATAATAGTTTCAAATCTGGCATTGTTTAAGTTTGCTGATATGTATTTTCAGTAGACCTAGATGGCGAAACTGAAAGAACCTTGAAAAAAGAGAAGAAAGAATCATGCTCAGTGATGTAAATGTGAAGTGTTGACAAATTATGCTTTTGTGTCTGGTCGCGTTAGTTTCGCTAGAGTTTGAGGTTAGTAGACCATATGGTTTTATATGAAACTGAAGAGGAAGGGGGCCTCTTTTTTGCTAAAAAAAGAGGAAAGAAATTAAGAGAACAAATTTATGTGGGAAATCTTCAAGGAAACTGGGTTAAAAACAATTGTTTAGTTTATCATTCCAAACTTTTGAAATTTCCCATGATAGTGAATCAGATTCTATCTGTATATTTTGGTTTTATGTGTACTATTTAGCTTGAGATATGCATCACATGGTTACTTTGCCAACTAACCTTGTACAAATCAAGTGGACATATACACCAAACTAAATAATTTAGAGTCAACTATATATCGTCCACCCATGTATACGTAGGATCGATCACATCGAGGGCATCTCCAACGCCAACCCTCAAGACAGACATTGTATTTATTCGCGGACTGGTCCGGAACGGTCCATATACACTAGTGCGGAAGCCGGCCATCTAACCTTGTCCCCTAAATGTTTGTCTTTGCTTTTTTAAGTCCAGAACACTTAAAATAATAGCATATCAAAACTTCGATGACTGAAAATATTCAAATGTGACGGTAGTTCTAATTAAAATATTACAATTCAGCTAAAGTTTTAAAATAAATCGTTCAAACTTGAATTCAGCTCACATATATGTTTCAGTTATCTTTTTAATCGCCTACATATGCTCAATCAATCTCTTCCTCGAGTTGCTCATGAGTTGCTCGATAAGAAATTTCTTGATGCATTTGGACAAACTCACCAAATTTGTCCGGATTTTGATATGAGAGTTGGATAGGATCATCCATGTTCTCAAAATCCAAACCTCCACAGGATCTTCACCTCATCCTCCACGATTATGTTGTGCATAATCACACAACATGTCATCATCTCCTATAAGAGCAACTTCAAAGCACCGGCCCATTTCGTCCGCGGGTGTCCACTTGGGTCAAAACGGGCACAAAAATCGGACCAACGCGCCGACCCAAACGGACGCGAGTCCGCTTTTCGTCTACCCGACGACCCATTCCAGGCCCAAATTTGGGCCTCATTTGCGTGAGCACGGACACAATGTGGACGCGCGCGACACCCGCCTACTCCTTCCTCTGGCCCGCCAATTAGTGGCGCATAGGCCATTCTCTTCCTCCCATCGACAACAAGCACTCGGCCTCCCCACCCCGTCGCTGCCGCCGCCCAGTTCTAGTGCCCACGCCAGTTTTTTGCACCTACATACCTACGTCGACGCCAACACCACCTCGCCCCTGGCCAGCTGTTTCGACGACGCCGCCATGCTTGTTTGATGCCGCCAGGCCAGCTACCTGGTCCATGGGAGGCGTGCGGCTCTTTGCCGGCCTGCTTCTTCGACGACGCCCGCAAGCTGTTCGATGGTTTGCCCGCAAGGTACAAATGGACTCCACAGACGAGTTCTTTTTCCACAATTTCATTTGCGACTCGGATGATTCCTCATCCGACGATGAGGAGATGGTGGTTGTTGTGTTGGTCATCCATGACCACCTTAGTAGGCAGCGGCCGTTGTTCCAGGGCTCGATCCCAGGGCACATTCCAGCGTTGAATCGCAACCAAGAGAGTGGTCATTTCCTTCTCTGGAAGGACTACTTCGAGACACCCAACCCGCTCTTCAAACATCACCTATTCCGGCGCTGTTTCTGTATGGCTAGGGATGTTTTCAACCGTATTCGGGAGGGATGGTCGGATACGATAAGTATTTTGAGTGCAAGGAGGATGCCCTTGGAAAGATTGGCTTCTCCTATTATTAGAAATGCACTCCAGCTATCCGGATGCTTGCGTAAGGAGTTCCCGGTGATCTCATTGATGAGTATGTCTGTATGAGCGACTCCACGTGCCTAGACTCCATGTATAGGTTCTGCAAGGCTGTGATAGCAGAGTTTGGTCCTGAGTACTTGAGAGAGCCAAATGCTGCAGATGCAGCCTGTTTGTTGGCGATGAATGCCAGCAGGGGCTTCCCGGTGATGCTTGGTAGCATTGACTGTATGCACTAGGAGTGGAAGAAGTGCCCTTTTGCTTGTAGGGACAGTATAGGGGCCATGTTAGAACTTGTACCATCATACTCAAGGTCGTGGCTTCACAAGATGTCTGGATTTGGCACTCTTTTTTTGGCATGGGTGGATCTCAAAATGATACCAACGTACTTCAACGATCTCCGGTGTTTGCAAGGCTTGCCGAAGGCAACTGCACGGAGGTGAACGTTAACATCAATATAATGGCCACAACTACAACAAAGGATACTACCTAGCTGACGTATCTATCCTTAGTGGACTACTCTTGTGAAGATAATCTCCAACCATGTAGGAGAGAAGAGGAAGAGATTTGCACAAGAGCAAGAGAGTGCTAAGAAGGATGTGAAGCGTGCATTTGGTGTTCTACAAGCTCGATCGGCCATCATTTGGTATCCTACTAGAACATGGAGCATCAAGAAGTTTGTGGGACGTGATGACTGCTTGTGTGATCATGCACAATATGATGGTAGAGGATGAGCGCCCGGAACGTATCTATGACCAATGATTTCAGTTTCAGGGTGACAATGTTGTGCCTGAGCATGAAGGAGCGGCAACATTTGCACAATTCACCCAATTTCATCATCAGATGCGTGATTGACAAACTCACATTCAGCTAGAAGATGTATCTATTTTTTTAAATGTATTTATGAGAATTTAATTTTTATTTGGCTTGTAAACTATGTTATATTTATTTGGCTTGTGAACTATGATATATTTGTTTGGTTGTGAAACTATGTAAAATGCTTGTATTGTGTTTGAGTTATGTTTGAAAATCCAGGGCAGACCGACCGCGAGGGCGAAAATGGTCGGCGCGTTGGACGCACGACTGAACCAAACATCGAGCGGACGGCCGACTCAAACGAATAAAAAGCGGACAAAGCGCTCGTCCGTTTGGGCCGGCGCGTTGGAATTGCTCCAACTTACTTCAAACATGCATAGCAAATTGCACTAGTTTCTTAGATCAACAAGATTTAATATGTCAAATATCTTACAAAACATAACCTACGTCAAATATACATAGCTTAGAGCATCTACAACCGGACTTGACAAATCCGGCCTTCTATACGTCTGCGGACGCGCTCAGGCACACCCGCGGACGCATCCGAACGGCCCCTCATATTTCACTCCTGGTATCCACATATCTCAAGTCCAGACTATCAAGTCCATGCAAATCTATGCACGTCAATCATAAGCCAATGTTGCACGTAAATAACAAATATTGGCACCGAGCAAATAGTGTTTATATAAAATTTATTTTAAATGCACAACTCAAACATTAACTCCTTGATTTTCATTGTGGGTCCACACGTGCTCCACAAGATCATTGCGTAGCTGCATGTGCACCTAATAATCTCGAAGATTCTGATGCATCTACGAAAAGTTCATAAACTGAGTTGCATCTTGATCTTCCGGGATTTCAACTTGTTCTCCAGGTGCTTCAAAATCATTGGTTGGTGCTACATCATCATCCTCATCCTCGACAGTCATATTGTGCAAAATAACACAACATGTCATTAGTTGCAACAAAGTTTCCGATTCCCATATCATTGCAGCGCTACGCACAATTCCACAACGAGTTTGAAGCACACCAAATGCCCTCTCCACATCCTTCCTAGCCACTTCCTGCATTGTTGCAAAGTGGCTCTGTTTATTGCTATGCGGTTCAGATATGGTCTTCACAAACGCCGTCCACTGAGGATAGATACCATCGGCAAGATAGTATCCCATGTTGTACTCTCGGCCGTTGACGGTGTAGTTGCACAACGGTGATTCCCCATTGCAAAGCCTGCTGAATACTGAAGATCGTTGAAGCACGTTGATGTTATTGTGAGAACCCGACATTTCAAAGAAAGCATGCTATGATGATGCCTCTTTGGTGTGACCTTGATACATTCCCCGCAAACCTGTGGGGCAGTTCTTCCATTGCCAATGGATACAATCAATTGATCCGAGCATTCCTAGAAACCCCCTTGCCTCTCCAATAGCCAATAACTTCTCTGTGTCCTATGCATTTGGTTCTCTGAGATACCCAGGTCCAAACACCACCACGGTGTGGGCAAACTTGACAATAGTCTTTAGGCACGCGCTCTCGCTCATCTCGACGATCTCACCAACGACATCTGCAGTAGTACAAGTGCAAGCATCCTCAGAGCAGTTGTGCACTTCTGCTTGGCAGAGAAATAGAGTTGTCCGCAGTTGCGAGCTTGAAGTAGTCGCCGTGTGCCTCCAAACTCCCTCCACAATGCGCAAAAACAATGGTTTCCACATGCGAAAACGGCGACAAAACCATGGATCATCCGAGAAAGTAGGCTTGGGAGCAAAG